CAAGTATGCCGTTAGAAATGTCTCTCCAGAGCCTTTATATCCTGATGGAGAAATAAATAATTTAGTCTGCTTACAATGACCGTGTATTACAAATATCTGTGTTAATCTCCTGAAAAGGATAAGATGACTGCCTGCCACTCAAAATCTACTTTAGCAAAGCTCTCCTTCAGACAAAATAGACTGTTAGTCTAGAGTTAACACTCAGCTGATCACAGTTTAAAACTGTGCACAAGTCATGATTTGTTCAATTATTTACTTACTGTCACTTACCTTGAGGACATGTGGGGTGCATTTAAATGCCCAACCATCATTTGGTATCTGGGTTGGGATGCTGCTGTAGAATTTGAGTCCCAGTTTTATCCAAATTGTTGTCCTCCAATAGACTTCATAGGTCGTGGACTCTGGTCATCAAAAACAAAACAAAAGTCAGACAAAGAAATGTGTCACAGTACAAACAGCACACGTTGATCACAAGTCGACGTCGATCTGTCGTAAACTGCAGTTTAAAATTTGTATTATTTTAAGAGCCTGTGTGTTCCGCTGTTAATCTGAACCCAGCTATCTGCTGTAGAAATAAATTAAATGTAAGCTTAACTTGAACCTGCTGCCTAAAGACATCTGTCATCACTTTTACATGTCATTTATATTTTAAGTTAAAGAAATATTTCACTTGTTGAACGCAGCACTATCATAAGATGCAATTGTGCTTAATTAAAAATTGGTCAAATCGGACCCCATTCAACTTCCATTTTATCAATTAATAGGGTTGCAAATTATCTGATATACTGAAGAGTTTATTCCATTGCGACCGTGTAAAAAGTTCATCAAAGTAACCATCAGTCAAAATGAAGTAAATTTGCAAAATGATATACATCCACTTTTAGAAGATAATAAATTAAACCAGAAAAACACACTTGACATCATTACCTTATTCCATACTGCACCATCCTCCAAACAGTCCCAAGCGGGGTGTCTCCAAAGGAGAATAAAATATACGATGGACGTCCATGGGTCACTCCTGTGGTTCCAGGTGGATCGAACGCGGTTTGGTCAACTTCCACATCAATGTTGGCATTGCGCTGATCAAAATCTTCCGTCACTTTATCCAGCCGACACTGAAGAGTGTCCTCCTTAACGTGCTTCTCAAAATCGTTTTCACTTGATTTGAAAATGGTTTGTAAAAACAAAAGCATCTAGCCAAATGCTAACAACAACTTCTGCTAAGGTGCTAACTTCAAGACAGTAATAGTAGACCCGGAGCGATCACACACACCTGTGACCAAGGCTGCTTCAGACAAAGGTTAGGACCTCCCACCTCATTAGCATACAGACACACAAATAAATGTAGAAATGTAGGCGAACAGAAATGTAGAGATAAATATATGATAGACACATAAATAGATAAATTAAGAAATATAGGCGAACACAAATTTAGAAATAAATATATGATATGTATTAGTTTATGGCCTGTTTGATTATCAACTTTTTATTTATTTATGGATGCATTAATTTACACATTTACGGGTAGTTATTTATTCCTGTATTTATACATTTATTCATTTATTTATTTATACTTGTAATTTTTTGTCCTCCATACAGTGAGAGAGGAAACATGTAATGCTGGTCTATTGAAGTAATAATTCACATTACACAGAATAAAAACATGAATTACAAAATAAATGTTAGATTAAAATGTACAATTTAATAAATAAATGTCCTTCAGCTCCTCCTTTTACGTACACATTAGCTAACGTTAGCCTAGTTTGTGCAGCTAACGTTCAAGTTAATTCAGCAACATTCATAAAACATACTGAACTGGTGGACATCTGAAGCTATCAGTTGCAAGAGAGGGACAGAGAGCGCGAGGGAGGAATCGAAGCCTTCACTTTTTCCACATTTTGTTATGTTACAGCCTTATTCCAAAATGTATTAAATTCATTATTTTCCTCAACATTCTACACACAACAACCCATAATGACAAAGTGAAAACTGTGTTTTGCAAATTTGTGCAAATCTGTTAAAAATAAAGAACGAAAACATAACATGTACATAAGTATTTACAGTATTTACCGATTGAACATCTCTGGAGAGATCTGAAAATGGCCGTGCACCGACGCTCCCCATCCAACCTGATGCAACCTGAGAGGTTCTGCAAAGAAGAATGGGAGAAACTGCCCAGAAATAGATGTTCCACGCTTGTGGAATCATACCCGAGAAGACTTGAGGCTGTAATTGCTGCCAAGTATTGAGCAAAGGCTGTGAATACTTATGTACATGTTATGTTTTCGTTCTTTATTTTTAACAGATTTGCAAAAATTTGCAAAAAACTATTTTCACTTTGTCATTATGGGTTGTTGTGTGTAGAATGTTGAGGAAAATAATGAATTTAATCCATTTTGGAATAAAGCTGTAACATAACATAATGTGGAAAAAGTGAAGCGCTGTGAATACTTTCCGGATACACTGTAGAAGGTGGTGCATGGCCTAAAAGGTTGGGGAATCCTGAACTACAGGAATATGTCATGTGTTGGCCGTGCTGGAAATGGGGCTACAACTGTATTTTTCTTTGCATCACTATATTGCATAATGACACTAAATGATTCTGGAACACTAATGTTGAAATTTCATTACCTCATTAAATAACATGTTGTGCCTGCTGATACGGGATGCAAAGATTGCAGTTCGGAATCCAACATAGCCAAGCATGGAGAGTAACACTTTTTTTTTTACTAATTCACTTGTATTGGCTAACCAACTGGAAACGGAAGATGACATCCCTCTTTTATTCTGTTTAGAGTTAAAAAATAAAAACATGAGAATTGTGTGCTAAAGGTATAATGAAATCCCTATTATCTACATGGTTTCAGATGTTGATAATTCATATTAGAAATTAATAAAGCTTAGAATACACATTTACTAACCACTCTTCTGAATAGATGACATAGTTACTGTCTCTTGAATGGCATGGTTACAAACAGCTGAATCCTTAAAGTTGAGCAGTGGCATATTTGATCTCCTATTCTCTGTCCTCCTGTCCTTGCCTGCAGGAAATGCAGCAGTAGAGATCTCCAGTAGAGATGTTTGCAGGAGATCAATTCAATTTAGTTTTTTCATCCCAAAATTAGAACTTTGGCTGTACAGCATATGGCACCCTCTGTAGCATGACCCTTACATTGCATCAGGAAAAACCCTGTGGAAAGTAAAGCGAAGGGATCCTGCTCACAGAATCGACACAGGTGCAACAGGTGCCATGGGCTCAGAATGAACAACATAATAATGGACGAAAAAATGAAGATGTGAGACAATACAGACAATTTCTGTTTTAGCCTGAAAGTTTTTAAATTTGCTGTTGGCCGAGCTATTGTTCTCTGCTTTTTGTAAACATATTGGTGGAAGATGAACGAATGTATTGGCTGTTTTATTCAGGATTGTTTTATTGCACAGTAAAAAGTCCCCCTATGGAACCGCCTGAAGGACGACCGTGATCCCCACTGAGCCACAGTCGGCCTTATCAATGCTTCACGCTGACTGGAGACAATCATTTATCTTCATGTGTGAGTATGTGTAGGCTGACAGTGGAAAGAGCTGCTCAGTCACATAAGTTCAATCTTATCAATGCCACAACCTATTCAACATCTAGCACGTCAACTCCTTCTCAACAAATAGAATTAGTGTAAAACGTTTTTCGGACACTTAAGGTATCTGAGCCAGTGTCTTTTATATGTACGATCTTTGTAAAATACATGCAGTACAATATTCTCTACAAGATTTCAGTGACAAGTTCTAGCCAATGTTCAAGGCCATGTAGAGACTCTCATTTCATTGTGACGAGAGAATGATAAGGAAGCTCACTCAAGCATGACGTTTATGACGTACAAGAACCATGACCAATCACCAGGCTTTTTTTCCCAGAGTTTGTTGGTCGGTAGACATGGCACATACTTAAATTAACGTGCAGAAGCATTAAAAAATGAATAATATGTCCTGTCCTGAATGCTCACGTCTCTAAATAGATAATTAACATAATTTTTGCTACAAATTTTATGACTTTTCCTACTTTAATGGAGACAACATGATGATGTGTTTTCAATGTTCTGTACACATGTTGTACGCATCTGTGTTCTTCGGGGTCAATTTGACCCCAGGCCGTTTTAGCTGTATAAAACCAATAAGGTCGCCCCCACAGATCAGACACAAAATCTGCACCTGCAAGCCCAAGCATTTCCACCTGCAGTATATTATCAAATAATCTACAAAGTAACACATTTGAATCAATTTGGGTTTGATGAGGGGCATGGGTGGAGCTGGGACCTCCTGTGCGTGCTATAAAAGCTTGCACAGCAGCCTTCTAAAGCATTTATCTTGGTGCTTTCTTATTCTGCTCTCTCTCAACTGAAAATTACTTCTAAAGAAAGATTTTATGTCACAGCTCTTTGACCATGAAAGTGACATAGAGGAGAATGTGTCTGAGACCAAAGATGAAGTTGAGGAGGACCGTGATCATGAGGCATCCTCCTCTAATGAGAATAAGACCCTTATTGTTGATCCTCCTGTTGTCTCCCAACCACCAGCAAACGCTCTCTACCTTCCAAAAATGTTATTATGGCCCGTCTCCCCACTTGAACAACAGTCATCAAAATGGTTCCAGGTTCCGACAGATATGCTGTCAGTCACTTGAGCTCATCATAACATCATCAATCAAAAAGGATATACTTGAGATGACAAAATTTGCATTTCTCCATAGGTATGTCCAGATGTTTAAGGGGGGGTCTTTTCTTAAATTTAATGCGCTATTTAGGTAGTCAACAAACTAGCACAAAGTTTCTAATACATAAACCTGGGGAAAAAATGTTGTTATGATCAGTTTCTGGGTGTTTAAATTGCTGGGGTCTGAAAGATGTCAATTTGAAGGTAACACGAGGGTTAAATAGTGTGCAAGGGGGACTTTTGCTTCCGGTGCACAGTTGTTTTGGTCCAGTGACACACTGACAGCGTGACTGTACGCGCTCGCATTGCATGTCCTAAAAATATCCCTCACCAAGAGCGCGGATCAAAGGGGGCAGCAACGCAGCCACGAATCCCGCCCCTGCATTGAACCCAGAGCCTCTCAGAGGAGAAACATACCCGGAGAGCAAAGGGCTGCATCCACAACTGTGCAGAGGAGAGAGAGGCAGTCTCAACTTACAGAGACGCGCACTGACGGCTAACCTGCGGAACGAGTCCGTCCCTGTGAACCAGGGACATCCCCGACGGACTGAGGACAACCGTCCAATGCATCGAGGTCTAACTTGAATGTAGATGCAGCAAAATAGTTTGGAGACAGTTCGAAGAGGACGAAGACAGGGCTGTTAAACGCCCATACTCTCAGTTCCCAAGTTGCGTCTCGGGATTCCTCCACCTGATGAGTAGAGGGTTTTCTGTGCGGATCAAACCCGAGTTGGAAGTCTAAAATGAATGAGCATCAGAAGTGGGAAATGGCCGGTAAACCGAGTGAGGAGAAGCGGATTCGCGTCGAGCAACAGCGACCTTCAAAACAGCTGTGGAAAAAATGGAGCCATTTGCCAAGCGTAATGATTTGCGTTGCAGCATGTGTTCTGTGCATCGGAGTTTGCATTGTGGTTTTGCTGCGGACCTCGGAGCTGCAGACCAGGCTAGTGAGTCTGGAGCAACGGCAAAGAGACGCGCAGCTCTCAGCATGGATGTTGTCTCTGGAACAGGCGGAGCCCGTTATCCTGGGCCGACTGGACCAGATCCTGGACGAGGTGAGACATTTGAACGACAACACCATGATAATGAATCCCCAATTGAGCTCTTTAAACACATTTGATCATTCATCCGTAAAGATGATTAAATGTAACTCCCTTTTAAAACACCTTAATTTCAAACTGTGGTATAAACAGTGTTGGATTAAAGCTCTACTGCAGAGTTCAATATTGTAATTGGTCAAATTCATTTTTTACCCGGAAAAAGAAAAACTATTGATATATCAAAATACTCTAGTAGGCCTACCATCTAAAAACAATTTCAACACCCCAAATCATTATGAACGGTATTATTAGACAAAAGACAAAAAAAAGTGCTCAGTTTCTTTTAATGTCAGTTTTTTGAATTCTCTCGATGAAAACTGGTGGGAGGAGGATAGGAGAGAACAAAAGCATAACACTTAATAAACTACCTGTTAAATTAGCCCTGATGAAACGCTTAATATATATGAATTGTTAATGATAATAATACTAATACTAAAACTACTACCCTTTAACAAAATATCTTAAGATTTTGGTTCTTAAATCAAATCATAACTGCATTATTTGGCAAACCCAAACTTTGTCTGGTTAACAGATTCTAACAGTCTTAACTATTAATAAAGCATTAGAAAGAATGTCTTTAATCAATGGCTGACAAACTCAATGTTTTTGCACATCGGAATTTGACCACTGCTCCTTTCATATCTGTTCCTCCTAAAGTCGCCCTCTGTGCTGATCTCTCATTAACTTCTACAGCTACTCTAACAAGCTCTTCAAAAGTGATTGATCCTGTACTGAAGGAATCAGTGTTTGAGTACTTTGAGCTCCTCTGTGGGGCCCCGTAGGACAATTTCTCCTTCTTCCTTTCCAGAAGGGCCAGGGGCAATGCAGCCTGCCTCTTTGTATATTTCTAAACGTATAAATAGTCATTATTAATGGGACACAGGCACAGATGTGTCCGTTCACACACACACTTACACACACACACACACACACACAGAAAGATTTCCTTTCCAGGATCCACCTCCATGCCTCTGTCGATAACGACAACATTCCTCTATTATGGAAACATGCACATACGCTGGCACATCAGCACATACTAATTATTTATCGCCTCCTATTTTGAATCACAGCAGAATCCATTATCTTATTGGGTTTTCTGTATTTCAACATTGGAACTATTTATAGGTCAGCAGACTTCTAGGAGTGTGGTTGCCATGTTGAGTACTAGCTTGACTGTGCAAAGACCGAAACCAAATCCGTACATGGCAACCTGTGGCATGGCAACACTGCACAGAACTGCGTGCAGACGATACACTGTTGTACATCTGTTCTATCGTGTTCCCCTTGTTTCAATCTAAAGTGTGTTAGTTGTTAAACATTGATTAATTACATACTTTACCAACAGAGTTTGAATTAAAGTTTTACTGCAGAATTCGATCAGGAGATCAGCATTAATGCATTCTATTTGCCAATCCATTTGAGTGCTGTTATGAAGAAATCTGTGTTGACATTTGGATTTTCATCAACACAAATGCACTGCGTCTTATAACCCCCAAAACGACGCAGCCCCTCAACTCTGTCCTTAGAATGTAGCCCCAAACTTGGAACCTTTGACATTTACAATTTACCCCAAAGTGATCTCTGCAAACCCAGGAGAGACCCATGGTGGGAAGTGGAGGCCGTATTGTGAGGCGCAGAAACGTGGAAATATAGTCTTCCCCTGCTCCGGTTTTCTCACTCTGCTCTCCATGGGTCTGTTACCTAATAGGCTGTATGTTCTATACATGCATTCACACAAAATAAACAAATATGTGTAGGGCTGCACAGTATGGCCAAAAATCCATATCACAGTATTTAGAAAGATTCTGACGGTATTGCTTTTTCGTATCCCAACAAAGCGTCAACTAAATATGCAAATAAGTTGTGTTAGGGATCCTTGCTTACTAACGGACACATTTAATTTCATTCAAAACTAACTCTGGCTGACTCCAATCAGTGCAAGTAATCCAAGTAAGGTAATGACCAAGAATGTCTGAAATGGTTGTGACGGTTCTCCCCCAGGGGGCAAACGGAACAGCTCACCGCTCGCTGTCCAACTCGCTCGCAACTGGCCGACAAGCTAGCATGTTAGCTTGTTAGCGTTTTAGCTGTTGTGTCTGCTACTGTTGCCACCAGAAGGAATACCAGCGACTCAAAAAACTTTGCAATAAATTGTTTTCTGATCCAAATCACATTGGATGTTTCAAAACCAAAAACCCTTCAAACACCACACGGCTCCTCTCTTGGGCACAAGTTGTGTTGGCGGCTCTCTGGTTGTTCCTCCTGCATCACTCTTTTCAGAGTTTCTTCTTGTTGTGATAGCGGGCGAGCTGTACCAAGCATGCTGTTCGGCGGTGTGATTTTTTTAGTTTTACACACTGTTGATGTGTCACAAACTGTGGTCTTGTGGTGTTTCACCCTGTTTAAGAACATTTGTTGTTATTAATTGTTGTTATACAGTTCTAACCATGACTTCATCTCAATACACGTAAGACAAGTAGCTCAGACCGCTGTGCCCTTGATGGTGAGCGGTGAACAAGTCAGAATCCAGTTGAAATTAAATTAAATATCTATGGTTGCCACACTGTAAACAACTCTTAACAACATACAAGTTTAATAACAGTTGAATACTGAATGGGAAAATGTATGTGTTATACGTACAAAAATATATTGAGTATTGAATAAGTGAAGTGGAGGTATGGACTCAGAACACCATAACAGGAAGTGTATTGGAGCAGCAGTGCCAGGTCTGAATATTAATCAGACTAGAGGATATTAAAAATGATTTGTCTTCCTTTTAAAATCGAAAGTTCAGACCACATAGGGCTACAACATAGGGTCACCACTACAAACACACACACACACACACACACACACACTTCAACCCTTTTAACCAAAGCAGCCAGCTGCTCTACACATACATCATATCCATAGTCTGTAGGATACCATCTCATGACCTTGCTAGCAAACGCAGAAACTCTACAAGGATGCAGAGCTGAATTAGTTAAAGCACAAGCACAACTTTTCCTTAGAACTGACAATTACTTTAGAACTGAATCTCCTCCACTCTACTTTAAGACATGTTGCTTCAAGTTGGACGAAAAGAGAATTGTGGCTGCACAGTTCAACTAAAGACTTCTCCAGTTGTGAGTGGGCTCAGCCAGTATCAACCAAATACACTCCTACAGGATTTCAGGAATAATATAAAGTGGGTTGAAGGGAAACATGTGCTGAAGAGTTCAGTCCTACATTTGATTCTGCATGAGCCTTTTCATGACTGCTGCTCTTAACTTTTGACAGGACAGGAGTCACAGGAGGATTGTTTTTCCTGTTTTTCACTGAAACTTTACCAAATTTAAAAAATGTAAGAAATGTGTTTTTACTATACCCATAAACGTGTAAAGTCCAAATGCACTGAATAGGTGTGTCGTCTGAACAATAACTGAACACAGTGGAAAGCATATGCTATAATGGCGGATTAGACCATTTATAAAACAAAGGAGATGATACAAAAAACAAACATTTACAACTAAACTTGAGTAAAATCAGACAGCAAAATTAGTCTTTTAGTCTAGTGTAGTTAGTTATCCAAAGCAAAATCTCTAACAAACAATACACCCTAAAGAAATCAACAAAAGCATGCATCCATTTATGTGGTGAGCAAGTCTTGGTCAGTTCAGTTTGTTACACATGGTTATGTAATGTCTCCATTAGTAGAAGTTGTGGATGGTACCAACCAGGGTTTGACATTGGCACCCGCCCACCGGCCAAATGTGGGTAGATTTTGGCTGTGGCGGGTAAAGTCTCTCTCACTAGCCACTTTGGCGGGTGCAATTTTATTTTTGGGATGGTTTCGCGTTTGAGATAGTACGTAATGACATGTCATTTATGTCCCTCCAGTGTTGCCGTAGAGGCAAAATGTTGGTTGAAGGGGGAAGGTGGTATGTCATGAGTGCATCATCCACAAACCCAGAATGCTCGGTCATTGTTGGTGGCAGCGGTGGTTCTTGTAAACCGACTACGGAGTGTGACGACGTGCAACGTTTGCACTTCCTTAGCTTAGCTGAGCTGTCTCAGTTTAGCTAGCAGGCTGAATGCGTTTAAAGAGTTAAGTGCCGCAGGTTCAAGATGTGCGTGGAGATGAAGACCCATTTTTCACAGTTCAGGACTGACGGTCGGCTCCGTTTTCTAAAATAATAAACTCATTGCAGGGTTCTCAAGCGTCACGCATTGACCGTGAGACAAGCATTTCAACTAGTTCACATGCCACAGGAAATGCAAAACAAGTTGTCAGGCTTAAGTTGTATTGTCCGCGTATCGTTTTCCCCTCTCAGCCACTGCACAAACGTTATAAGCAACATAGGGCGGAGGCTTTTTAAAAACTTTAGACCTGCTCAGTGCAAGTGAAGGATGTGGCGGCATAGAGCATGTGAAGGAAAACCAGGAGGACACGTAAGAGAAAAACGATGATGATGAAACTGAAAATAATGAGAAGACAAAGAAAAATTAAAGTCTGTTCAATAAAAAGTGTCGGTCCAGCAAAGAAAATAATGCAATGTACTGATTGTAGGACGTACGGCAGTAGTTGTTGTAGTTGAGACAAGTAACTTCATTGTGGAAACAATGAATAAAATGAAAACCATGACATTTCCGATGGGCACGTCAAGCATTCCGACAAAACGGACAATAAAATACCCCTGCACCAGTCATTTTGTTGTCATAAACAAAAGGAGCTTTACATACTTTACATGCTCTTGTATGTATATGTACAGGTGACTACATAAATATTTTATGCAGTCTTGATTTGGGTGTTTACAATGGTCATTTGCATTTGAATGGATTTTAAATCTAGTTATTCAACTAAATTGTAGAAAACCGTAGTCAACTTTAATTACATTGAACTAAAGAGTTTTTAAATAGCCAAGCTACTTTTAATAGCAGCTCAACTTGACCGATACTAAAAACTCTACGACTAATACGGTATACACAATTGACTTAACACAAACGTTTCGCTGTTCCATTAAAAATTATATCACAATAGTTTCATGTGGCATTTGTGACATTGTGGTTCCTACGGCAAACACCTTACAGTGACTGTAGCATATGGAGCATAGAGGGTGTGCTGGTAATCACAAGGATGGTAGTTCAATCCCCGGCTGTCACATCTCCCATGTCGCTGCCTTTATGGCAGCACACTGCTCCCACTGTGTGGGATGGGTTAAATGCAGAGAATATTTTCCCCATGGGGGAAATAACGGATACTTTCTTCCTTTGTTCTAAACTCTTCGCCATCAATACTAAACAAACAAACATGAGTTTCATGCATGAAACAAAATCTTTGTATTATCTATACAATACGTAAGCAATGTGCATGTGGTCCAAAGGTCAACAATCTCAGTGAGAAGAAAATTAGCTATAGAACAATTACTATAGAAACCACTGAGGGTTACTGACATTCAGCAGGTGCTGCCAACACAATGTCCTCCCATAAACTGGAATAACTGAGTTAACAGGCTGTACCCAGAATACTGCAGCAGTGGTCAGAGTGACCACCCCCCCCATGGCATCCCTTTCAGCACCTGTTGGAGGCTCTAAACAGTAACCAGCAGTGGGACTGACTGCTATGCAGTGGAGAATGCACATGGATGCTTTTCTATTCTGTTCAGGGTCACATCACATGCTTGCTTTTGTTTATCTAATGAGGTCAGCTGTCACACTTTAATATCTGGAGAAAAGTGGAAGGTGGGCGACTTACAATAAGTGCATATTAACCATAAGAATACAAACTCAAAACGACAGGAAGCGCAATTTCATTAAAAAAGCCGATTTACAACTTGCTATGGATAAGAGCCATTATAAGTACAATTTAAGTGCCACAATTTGTTAGCCTTTTAGCCAAGGTATAGTCTGAAGAGATTGTTTTTAGTTTGCGGTGGAAGATATAAAGGCTCTCTGACCTGATGTCATCAGACAGCTCATTCTACTATTTCGGAGCGGAACGGATGGTACGTGATAGTGATAGTTCTAGTTTGAATGTGTGCAAGGAACTTGTAATATCAAAAATATACAACCTTGATAAAGAATCTCAAGTTTCAAAGTCTACTTTCTCACTTGTTCTGAAGCTTTCGTTCGTATCACATCATCATATCGTAGCATATGTTTGCTCAATTGCCCTGGGATTGTAACTGGGCCTCTTAACCACAAAGGTTCAGTGCTCTCTAACGTTTTTCCTTTGTTCCCTTTATGCAGAAGCTTGCAGCGAGAATACCAAAGACAAGGGAGTCGAGGGAAGCTCCCCACAGCTGCTTGTGTCCTCCAGGTAAGCTACTCGCCCCTTCTACCGGAGACGTTATTCTGTTGCTCCAACATGCATGGGTATTGACCCATGCATGTTGAGCCAAAGGTCCGGACATACCTTCATTAACAGTCACAGTCATCCGTGGACATACTGCGTTGTAGTGCTGTATTTTGTATCAGTGCCATTAGTGGGAGAGAAGAGTGTTGCGTTTAGATGAAATGATCAAGTGGTCAACAACAGAAACTCCATACAGAGACAAAAGATACAATACATGAAGAAAGGGGTAGGATACCCCTTTAATTCCTCCTCTTTAGTTATCTATATTCAATAACTTTACAATAATTAGGGCCGGAGCACGGTTTATTATTGGGTCCTTGCAACAAGTTCCTAGATGAATTATTTTTATTTTTCTCGAGTTTTTTGCCTTTTTTGCTGACTGTATAATATCCCCAAAAGCAGTTAAATTTGACATGGACATCAAGACTGGTGAAAAATGTGATATGTTTGGGGTCTCGCATTTGGGTAGGAAGAAATGTCTCCATAGCGGCCCCTACAGATCTGCTTGCCCACGCTTTTTGCGCCCTATCACCGATTGACTTGACATTTTTAGTCTTTTTTTGTACTGACTGTACAAAAAAGTCAAGCATTAGATTTTCTGCCATTTTTTAAAATTTCCTAGAAATCAAATTTTTTGCCCTGTCCTCTTAAATGCTGAGTGCCATTCTCACAAAATTGTTATTAGATCATCATTGGTTAAATGTCATCAAAAGTTATAAAAAGATAGTTAATATCTCATTTTGTTAAGAATATATGGACCAATGAACTTCTAAGTGGTGTGGCTTAATATGCCAAGATCATCATTTCATTTCCAAATCACTTGTCTGGTCTGTTCTCACCAAATTTGTAGCATACTGTATGTCCACATTGCATCCCCAAAAATACTAATATTATATAAATTTAATAATATTTAAACACTAGGGGGCGCTGCAGTTAATTGCTTAATATCTGCATATTTAGCCTGTTTTTACTGTTTTATGGAGTTTTAAAAGATGACAATATATATTATATTTGTTTTTATTGTATTTATTATATTTGGGCAGTATGACCTTTGCCTTTAAATAAAATCAAAGTAAAAAAATATATTGTGTAAGCATAAATATGTAAGCGTGATGCAGCCTAAAAAAACACAATTTGCCTTGAAAAGTTGAGCCTTGGAGTTATTTTTTAACTCGAGCATACATTATCTAATCTTCTTCATGTATATCATGACCTCCTTATCCTGTAGCCATTCATATGATCATTTTTAATCCGAGTCACTGCGCCACCTAGTGGCAACAGGAAGTTACATGTTTTTTTACGTTACACCCTGCTCCTCACAGATTAATCAGTTTCCTCTCAAAAATTGTCATAAAAGACTTTGACCGTGATAATGCGTTGCTGTGAAGATGTAAGAATTTGATGATGGGCGGCGAGTCGACACATTGAAATTGACCTGCACCAAGAACGAATTAACTGATGGCTCCACATGATCAGATAATTTCCCATTTTTACATGTTTGATGAGACTCCAGGCCTAAAGACATGAACAGTTTAATGTTTAATCATAGTGTTATTGCACCTACTGTTAACAGAAAGTAAACGTTTCTATACTTTGCTTGCTTCTCTCAGTAGGCAAGTCTGATCCACATTAATTTCACACAAACATATGACTTTCATGACCCCTAACCCCATGAAGGACTTGGTTTGTGTAATGCTTTTTTGCGTGGGAACCCATTCCTTGCAGTACACAACAAAGGTGCTTTTGAGCGACTAAACATGCTCGAATTGTAACTAAACTTGGCACATAAATTTGAAGTCAAAGATGTAGTTATCTGATATGATTTAATGCTTCAAAATGGCAATATGCCTCGATAGATAGAAATATTGATATAAGCGGCCTCCATGCTACGTTTGAACTACATGTGTGAAACTTGGTAGGCATATTAAACACATGCAAACTGAAAAGGTCTCTTGGGACTAAAAGTTTTTTATTTAGTTTTTCCTTGTGAATGTACACAGTTCCTCATTTCTCCTGGACTTTTCCCACTTTGAATTGCTCAATCACCTTTCCGAGCTGCTTGCACAAAGCAGTTGGTTTTGAGACCTGTATTGAATTTGACAGTCTGTCATGTAATCCCTGGAATAATGACTTGGCCACTCACACAGGAAATATTGTCTAAAGTTGTGCAAGCAGCTTCTGATGGTCACAGACAGGCGTGCCTGTGCTAGAGCCCGACCAATGCCGCTCGCTCTTCACTTGACAAATCCACCAATCCATAGCCATCTATTTAGTTTTTGCTGTGTAATGTGTTGGTGTTGAAACTGTAGGTACCCGGAGTGGGCCTTGCTCACTTCAGAAATAAAACCGCACTCAGCTGAGCTGTGCTTGGATGGATGTCAGGGCCATTTATCATATGCACTGGTATCATTTGAGACATTCGTGGATAAGCAGCCGCATTAATGTGTTTTACTCTCTGAGAACTGAAATGACAGCGGCTTAAACTAGGCAGCGCAGTAGTTAATACCTCCTTTTTTAAAAAAAATTCAGGCGATTCACAGAACTAAAGAAAGGGTTACAGATATGTACCCCAAAGCTAAAGTTGCAGCTGGCACAGTAAGGTTACCTTCTCTGCTGCAGCCCCCAGTTATTAAGTTATTAAGTCATCAGACAACGGGTGTGTGTGTGTGTGTGTGTGTGTGTGTTGGTTGACTCTTAAAATTATCCACGTCTTGCGGCATGAATGGTTGGAGATCCTCCCTAAGTTTAAAAATGTTCTTGTTGCCACACAACTCAGGACATTATTTATTAATTGATGTTTAACAGTTATTTGATAGGCAGGATTCCATAGTAGTTCCATATAACATTGGCTAAACACAGCTTGGACAATGAGGTGCTTAGAATAAACAATGTTGTAGTTGTAACAGGATGTGAGGTACCTGGAAATCCCACCTCCCGCTAAACGTCACTTGAGCAGTGCTGGCCCCTCCCCAGCTACCAATTTTACCTCCCGTAGCAGGAGGTGGCACAGTGTCTACTGCCTTCAACGTGTTTACGGCCGTGGGTGTGTCTACTGCGGGAAAAGCTTTTATTGGGGCAATTAGCTGTGTGCCCATCAGCCCTACGAGCATACATCTGGCATCATGGATTGCGGCTTTGAGGACGACAGACACAACACGGGTGACTTAATTTTCTTGTCAAGTTCCCACAGAAACTGTAGAGTAGCAAAATCTGTAAATGCAGACAACAACAAAATAGAGGGAACGAGTGAGACATGAAATGAATTCACCCATAATTGGGTAAACTTGATGTGTAAGTGGGTATTTTTAAGTAAACGTGTCTGTAAGAAAGATAGAGAGAGCCTACTAAACAGGAAGGGGGGGCAGAGCCAGCCACCACACATTAGTGCCAATTGGTCTGTTAATGTGGTGCAACTCAGTAGTAGTAGCAGTAAATGTCTGTGATGGCTCGTGAATGCCCGTTCAGGTGGCTGTGTGCTCGCCAGTTGCTTCAGGTGTTGACGGTTTTGAACTCCTGCCAGGCGGTCTGGTGCTAGAGGTGGAATGTCTTGAGTGTGAGAGAAGGAGGGGTGTGGCTTGTGAGTAAAGTGTCATCCAAAACTTATCAACCATGGAAAAGCAACACTCTCTACTTTCTCTTCTTTTTTTCCACGGTGAACGTTTTAGTAGAGAGACATATCTTTTCCTGGATACATTGTCAACTTTTCAAGTTAGTCACAAAAATACCCAGGTTCCTATAAACCTAATATTTCCTTCTGCTTCAGTTAAGAAAGGTCCACTGAATATTATATTTGGTCAATCAACCTGTAGCTGTTTGATGAGCAGGCCTTGCTCTGACCCGTGTGCTTCAGTGAATTTTACGAGCACCGCATGACTGCAATGCTTTGGTTTATTGACAGTGTCGGCTGACAGTGAGGGCAGAACTCCGATGTCTAGATAGAGACACTACAATTACTACTACGCAACATTTTTTTCATTATGACTGACTCTGACAAATTAAACAAGAGCTACATCAGCAGCCAGTGACCATGATATCACTAAACCCAGCTTTTACTGCTTAAGTAATAATAATAAAAATGATGACAAAGCTATTCATATAAAATAAGACCATGTTTGCCAGGACATGAGCTGAGACCTACAACCTGCAAGAGATCACATGTAGGTGAAGGGTTGTTGACTACAAAGTTGATGAAGAGTCAAGGCTAAGTTATTTTCAAAGACTTTGAAATTTAAAAAAAAATAAATAAAATGGTGCCGATATGGAATTTTCTTTATAACAAGCTGATGAGAGAGCTGACTTGAGTTGAGTTGTAATATGGCAGCGCTTCAGTCTGACTGCTACTCATGTTTCTTAATCGTGAACAATTGGATTTTACTGAAAGAAGTAGCTGATCAATGAATATATGAAAATTAAGGACATAGCTCATTTGACAAATTGGCCAGATGATGACTCTGGAAACATGGCATCTCTGTAATTAGAAACGCTACTATCCATGCATAATTAAGATAATTGCCATAATAACCAATCATAATAACAAATCATCAGAGGTTTACCGCTCAATTAAATTCTGGTATATCATAATAGACCTCAAACTCCACCATCACACCTTCACCTCCACTGTGTTACTGCCCGTGCTTACTTTTGGTGGAGCGGCATTACCAAAACCAATATAATTTCATGTACTAGGAAAAATACAAAATGCCATTGAATTTGAGATTATTACTAGTAAATTGTAGATTAATCATTTTAAATTCTGTATTAATATTCTCATTGCTGAAGATACGGTTGTAGCTAAAAAAGAAACCCCACGATAACTCTTGCAAACAAGAGACTTCCTCTAATCTGGGCAGCTGACCGGGCGGTGAGGGGATCTATAGGGGGGTCGCAAAGCCAGTTATTTAAAGAGTCCTCCAAGTTCACCTTGACATCTGCGTTGACAGGAAAAGAGCACAACAGATCCCCTT